ACGGCTTTTTTTTTTCCCCTCTTGTCGGCTTTTTTTTTGTTTTTTGTAACGGTTTGTTTTTTATGGGGGGTGGGCGCATTTCTTTCTATTTGCGTACTACCAATACTCGGCCCTACCAATACTCGGCCGGGCACCAACGACCCCACGCATTGTTGAAATGCGGACTCACGTTTGAATCCAGATCACGTTCGAATCCAGATTCATCAATTCGATGCCCATAATAACATAAGTTCTGAATCACCAGCTGGGGCCAAAAAAAGAATAGTTCGGGCGGGCCGCGTTGCCCCATGCGCACGTGCGCTTCCCGCCCAACATTTGAACCCGTGGGCTGGCACTGCAGACTTGTGGGGCCCACCTTAACGTTTCCCGCCATACCCCTCCAACCGGTAGGACAGGGGGCCAAGTCCCACTTGCCCGAATTCTCAATTTCCAACCATCGATTAGAAAGATCAACGGCCAAGAATGAACGGTCAGCGTAAGTGGGACTTGGCCCCGCCGGTACTCGTGTACGAAAAAAAACTGCAGTGCCGGCCGGTACTCGCACCCCTCCCAAGACGAGAAAATTCGAGGGCTACCCTCGAAGCTCAGGGACACTGGGTTTAGCTGAGTAAAGGCCTCAGCACTTCCTTTCACTGGGTTCTTTGTGGGGTTGTTCTGTTCTTTCTAAGTATTCAGGTAAAGAAAAAAAGCAAAAAAAAGACAAAAAGAAAATGCGAGTGCATCTCCTGCAGAAAGCCGAACTATTCATAATTACATTCTTCTGCTGCCATGCATAGTTACGGATGTATCTTACTACCTTCTGCAAGAAGGTGCACTCACTTGTTTTTTGTTTCGTGAGTGGCGTTGCCCGGCCCTTAGGCAATGCTTCGAGAGCCCCAAGGCCATTGCACATTTCACATAGCTGCCCCGCCAGCCCCTCCCACCCAGCCGTCTCGTTTTCTCGTTTTCTCAAGTGCGCCGGAGGAAGCAGGACGCGCAAGGGCTCATGACCTCAGCCTCTTGCAAAGCCTGAAAGTTCTATCCCAGTCCCAAGCTCTGGATCTCGCTGGTCGAGCCAGGCGGCAAAGGGGCGTACGTCGGCTTTTCGCGTAATCCGTACCCCATGGGAATACCCGCCATACCCAGTCCCAG